TATCTATCTATCTATCTATCTATCTATCTATCTATCTATCTATCTATCTATCTATCTATCTATCACCTCTCTCTCTCTCTCTCTCTCTCTCTAATCCATCCACCCTTCCAATTTGTATCCCCCCATTGGGTGAATGATTGATATGAAGGAAATCAGAATGAAGGAGGATGCAACTCCCCCCCCCCCCCAAAAAAAAAACCAGAAAAAGAAAAAAAGAGGAAGGGCGAAGCAGCTGCCAGAGAGTTGGGGGAAGACTAAAAACGCTGCGGTTGGATGGAGTCAACGTGATCCTTGAAATGAAAATAAAAGAGAAGTTTGTGGCTTTCACAGGCAACAGGGCCGTGTGGTCAAAAGCGAGGACAGTTTTCGAGGAAAGGAAGGACGGGGAAGAAGAAGAAGAGGAAGTAGTATCGGTATTAGTAGCACTAGTAGTAGTGATTTGGGGGTCACCGAAGGCGATGAGCGAGGATCAAATTGCAAAACCAACAGGAAAGAGTGAGAAAATTGGGGAGTTAATGACTTGGAGAATGAATGAGATCCTCGAAAGGGAAGAGGTGAGAAGTTTAAAAGGGCAAAAAAAGGCAACCTCTGGGTGGAAGCGGTGAACCGAGGGAGCCATCTTAGAAACGTGGGAAGAGATATAATGAAAGGAGGGAGGTCTTGGGCCTACATTTCCCTTGCCTTTTCTCCTCTCCCAGCTTCGATTTCTTTTCTTGACAACACCCTTCTCTTTTTCTGCACCCAGCTTAACCCTCCCCACCCCCCCAAAAAAAACGGTAGCAGAATTTTGGTCTTCAGGTTACTACCCAAGTAAATTAGCAAATATATTGTAGAACAGCCTGGTTTACACACAACTTAATAATGGTTAGGTTAGGTTTTCTCTCACATGGTCAGCCTCAAACGATGCGAGCAGATATTATTTGCCTTTGAAACTGGATGTGGCCAAAGATGGCATTTTCACATGAACAATTTTGCATGATTCCAAGATCCTGTTACTAATCATGAAGAGTATATAGGCAGTTCTACTTCCAGGTTGCTTCTCTCCTTGATGACTTTCTACCTGTTGCTTCTTGTCCTGCCTCTTCAGGGGCTTTGGAGAATAAATTGAACTCCCTCTTCTTTGGGGCAGTCCCTCAGATATTGGAAGGCTGCTATCCTGTCACTCCTAGTCCTTCTTTTCATGAAATCGTTGTTGTTCGTTGTGAAGTTGTGTCTGGCCCATCGCGAGTCCACATGGACAATGTTCCTCCAGGCCTTCCTGGATTATCTAACTGGGAGATATACTACCAGGCTGCGGCCTTAACGTGGATGAAAGAATGGATACTGCTGAGGAATAAAAGGTTATTGACGTTGGAAGGACATGGTTTGCAAATGGGCTGGCATGCGTTTTTGTGGGACAGGAAAGGTAAAACACATGAGTGCTTTCGAAAGGCATCTGGTCAGGGATGCATTGTTAACGTATATGGGAAAAAAATAGGGAACAGCATTATATGAAGGTACCAGTCCAGTTATCAACAATGGAAGCACTTGTATACCCAAATGTTTGTAAAATGGGAAGTGTTACTAGATATAAATATATTTTAAATGAAAAGGGTGAGCTGTCCTCTACCATCTTCTGGAGTCCATTTAAGCTCACGCCGATGGCTTCAGGGACTCCAGCCAGCCCCCTCCTTCTCTGCCGTCCCCTTCTTCTTTTATTGCCCTCCATCGTTCCCAGCATTCGGCTCTTCTCCAGCGAGTCCTTCCTTCCTTCCTTCTCATGAGGTGCCCAAAGTCTTTGAGATTCATCTTCAGGATCTGGCCTCCTAAAGAGCAGTCAAGGTTGGTCTCCTCTAGGACTGACCGGTTGGATGGCCTTGCGGTCCAAGGGACTCGCAGGAGTCTCCTCCTCCAGCACCAGCGTTCAAAGGCCTCCATTCTTCGGCACTCAGCCTTCCTTGTGGTCCCACTTTCGCAGCCATGCATTGCAACTGGGAAAACCAGAGCCTTGACTCTACGTCCTTTGGTTGGCAGGGGGATGTCTCTGCTTTTTCAGTGTGCTGTCTAGATTTGCCACAGCTTTCCTCCCCAGGAGGAAGCATCTTTGGATTGGATCTTGGCTGCAGTCCCCATCTGCAGTGGAGCCCAGGAAAATAAAATCTGTCCCTCCCTCCATTTCTTCCCCATCTATTTGCCAGGAATTGAGAGGGCCGGATGCCATGATCTTAGTTTTCTTAACGAAGAAAATTGGGTATGCCTAATTTAATTCATTAAATTAGGCATACCCAATTCCTGCAACCGTTCTTCGTATATTTTTGTCTCCCAGGCCTTTTAATCATCTTAGTTTCTCTTCTCTGCATTTTCCAAAGTCTCAACATCTTTTTTTTTTTTAATCACGGTGATCAAAACTGGATGCAGCGTTCCAACTGTGATCTTACCAAGGCATTATAAAAGGGTATAAACACTTAACATGGTCTTGATACTATCCCTCTTCTTTCTGAATTTTGTTCTATTGCAACGTACACAAAATAATGAGGGAAGAAAAAGGCTCTGCCTGGGCCATTTGGCTCCGAATTCTCTTAAATGGGTTTCTTGCATGCCCTTTATCAGCGCCCGGGTTTATATGTCTGTGGAGATTCTCAGTCATCCAGGTCAGGTGCTTTTTCAAAAGACTTTTGTTTTTTTTTCATGAAGGCATTTTGCTTCTCATCCAAGAAGCTTCTTCGGTTCTGACTGAACGGCGAAGGATGGAAGGATTTATATTCCTTGCAGTTATTTGGCCGTTTGCACTCTTTCCGAGAGTTGTTGAGGCCACTTGGACTTGAAATTCATGTTTTGGATAGAGAGGACTGCTGGTTTGAAAGAGGGGTCAAAAAGAGGACATCTATATGTCCAAATTAAACAGCCCACCTCTCAACCGAGGGGAGAAGGATACAACATCACCTATCTCCAATCTACAACACAGTCCTTTCAGCAGTTCCAGCCATTTGCACCACTCAGGTGAGGAAATAGATAGACCTCCAGGTGGCCTCAACGACCCTCTAAAAGAATGCAAATGACCAGCTGTCTGCAAGGAGTACCAATCCTTCCATTTCCCCACCATCCAGTCAGAGCTGAAGAAGCTTCTTGGATGAGAAGCAAAACGTCTTCAAAGAAACACAAAGGAAGTCCAGTTGCCTTGGGGGAGAAAAAAAAGCACCTTTGGGCCAGTTTGATATGAAGGTCTGTCCCCTGCCAAGAGGCCAAACACACCTACCTTGTACGAATAAACAACCTTGCAGGTCAATGGGTAATTTCGGAGGGTGCCCGAAGGACTGGAGTTGCTGTCTTCAAAAGCATCCATGCCGTCTTCGCCCTCTTCCCTTTCTAGGTCAACATTCAGCTAACAGAGAAAAACAGGAAAGAGATTGTAAGCATGCCTTGTGTGTCCAATCGCACCTGGCCAATAAAAGAATTCTATTCCATTCCATTCCATTGTATATTCCCCTCCTCTCCTCCTATTCTTTCTGACAGTGAGAACAATCCACCCATGGAACAGAAGTTGCCCTAGGAAGTTGAGGGAGCTTCATCCCTGGAGACCTTCAAGAAGAGATTGGACTCCCATTTATCAGAAATGGTGTAGGATCTCCTGCTTGGGCGGGGGGTTGGACTAGATGACCTATAAGGTCCTTTCCAACTCTGATTATCTGTTACCTGTTATTCTATATTCTATTCTGTTCTATATTCTATTCTATTCATTCCATATTCTATTCTGTTCTATTCTATTCTATATTCTATTCTATATTGCTCTTCTCTCCTTCTATTCTATTCTATATTCTATTCTATTCCATTTTCTATTCTGTTCCGTTCTATTTTATATTCTATTCTATTCTATTCTCTCCTGCTCTATTCTCTTCTCTCCTATTCTATTCTATTCCTATTCTATTCTATTCTATTCCATTTTCTATTCTATTCTATTCTATTCTATTCTATTCTCTCCTGCTCTATTCTCTCCTATTCTCTTCTCTTCTCTCCTATTCTCTTCTCTCCTATTCTATTCCTATTCTATTCTATATTCTATTCTATTCCATTTTCTATTCTATTCTATTCTATTCTATTCTATTCTATTCTATTCTATT